TTTTTGTGTATCTTTTGTAGAGATGGGGTTTTGCTATGTTGCCCAGCCTGATCTTGAACTCCTGTGCTCAAGCACTCCTCCTGCCTGGGCCTCCCAAAGTGCTGGGATTATAGGCATGAACCACTGTGCCCAGCCCTTCAATGGTTCTGAAGCCAAAAACCCCTCTTTTTTTTTTTTTTCAGACAGAGTCTTGCTCTGTTGCACAGGCTGGAGTGCAATGGTGCAATCTCCACTCATTGCAACCTTCGCCTCCTGGGGTCAAGCAATTCTCCTGCCTCAGCCTCCCAAGTAGCTGGGATTACAGGCATGCACCACTATACCTAAGTTTTTGTATTTTTAGTAGAGATGAGGTTTCACCATGTTGGCCAGGCTGGTCTCGAACTCCTGACCTCACGATCCACCCACCTAGGCCCCCCAAAGTGTTGGGATTACAGGCGTGAGCCACCGGGCCTGGCCCTTTTGTTTTTGGTTTTTTGTTTTTGAGACAGGGTCTCACTCCCATCGCCCAGCCTGGAGTGCAGTAGCGCAATCTCAGCTCACTATAGCCTCAGCCTCCTGAGCTCAGGTTTCTCCCAACTCAGCCTCCAGAGTAGTTGGGACTACAGGTGTGTGCCACCATGCTTGGCTAATTTTTGTATTTTTAGTAGAGATGGGATTTTGGCCAGGCTGGTCTCGAACTCCTGGGATCAAGCAATCACTGCCTGGCCCTCTCAGTGCCACTGCACCCAGCTTCGTTTTTTTTTTTTTGTTTTTTTTTTAAACAGAACAAAACCAAACCTTTTAAATTAGGTTCAAGGGTACCTGTGCAGGTTTATTATATAGGTAAATTGCATGTCACATGGTTTGGTGTGTAGGTAATAAGCATAGTAGCTGATGGGTAGTTTTTCAATCCTCTCACTCCTCCTGCCCTCCAGCCTCAAGTAAGCTTCTGTGTCTACTGTTGCTTTCCTTGTATCCATGTGTACTCAATGTTTAGTGCCGACTTTTTATTTTATTTTTATTTATTTATTTATTTTGAGACAGAGTCTCGCTCTATCGCCCAGGCTGGAGTGAGTGGTGCAATCTTGGCTCACTGCAATCTATGCCTCCTGGGTTCAAGGGATTCTCCTGTCTCAGCCTCCTATGTAGCTGAAATTACAGGAGTGTGCCACCATGCCCAGCTATTTGTGTGTATGTGTGTTTTTAGTAGATATGGGGTTTCACCATGTTGGCCAGGCTGGTCTCGAACTCCTGACCTCAAGGGATCCACCCACCTCAGTCTCCCAAAGTGCTGGTATTACAGGCGTGAGCCACCACGCCCAGTCTAGCTCCCACTTATAAGTCAGAACATGTAGTATTTGGTTTTCTGTTCCTGTGTTAGTCTGCATACGATAATGGCCTCCAGCTCCATCGTGTTGCTACAAATGATATGATCTTGTTCCTTCTGATGGCTGTGTAATATTCCATGTTGTATATGTACCACATTTTCTTTATCCGGTCTATTGTTCATGGTTATTTAGGTTGACTCCATGTCTTTCCTGTTGTCCCAAACTCTTTATAGATCCTGTGTCCTGTCCCATGAAAGCCCACTGTACTTTCGGAGTCAATAGCAAATTGGATGAGCTAAATAAATCTTCACAAATAATGTGATAATGGGAAAGGCAATGTATGTACCCTTTTTTTTTTTTGAGATGGAGTCTTGCCTGATCCCCGCCTGAAGTGCAGTGGTGCGATCTTGGCTCACTGCAACCTCTGCCACCCAGGTTCAAGCAATTCTCTGCCTCAGCCTCCTGAGTAGCTGGGATTACAGGTGCCTGCCACCACGCCTGGCTAATTTTTTGTATTTTTTACTAGAGACAGGGTTTCACCATCTTGGCCAGGCTGGTCTTGAACTCCTGACCTCATGATCTACCCACCTTGGCCTCCCAAAGTGTTGGGATTACAGGCATGAGCCACTGTGCCTGGCTGTATGTACCCTTTTTTTTTTTTTTTTTTTTTTTTTTTGAGATGGAGTCTCGCTCTGCCGCCCAGGCTGGAGTGCAGTGGCCGGATCTCAGCTCACTGCACGCTCCGCCTCCCGGGTTCACGCCATTCTCCTGCCTCAGCCTCCCGAGTAGTTGGGACTACAGGCGCCCGCCACCGCGCCCGGCTAGTTTTTTGTATTTTTTAGTAGAGACGGGGTTTCACCGTGTTAGCCAGGATGGTCTCGATCTCCTGACCTCGTGATCCGCCCGTCTCGGCCTCCCAAAGTGCTGGGATTACAGGCTTGAGCCACCGCGCCCGGCCTTGTATGTACCCTTAAAAGTGGACTTTGGAGACATCTCCTTTTCTTGGCTGGAGCTGTCTGGGCAGGGATTTCAGGCCTGATGAGATGGGCAAGAGAGAGATCATGTGGAAATAGGAGGGAAGTAAATTTTTATAAATTACTCTGGAGGGAATAAATTGGACAGTCAAACTCAACATGGACAGTCATTCTCAAAATGATCAAAGCTAATCTCTTAATGTCCTGATACATGTTTTTAAATAACTTTTAAAAAATTTAAACTTAAATTTTTTATTTTATAAGTAGAGATGGAGTCTTGCTATATTATCCAGGCTGGTCTTGAACTCCTGAGCTCAAAAGATCCTCCTGCCTCAGCCTCCCAAAGTGCTAGGATTATAGGCATGAGCCATTGCACCAGGCCTTACTTTTATTTCTTTTGAGAGGGAGTTTTGCCATATTGCCCAGGCTGGAGTGCAGGGGCTATTCACAGATGTGGTCATATCACTTCATTTTGGAACTCCAGGGTTCAAGCCATCCTCCCGCCTCAGCCTCCTGAGTAGCTGGGACTACCACAGCATCCAGCTTTCTTTTTTTTTTTTTGAGACAGAGTCTCACTCTGTCGCCCAGGGTGGAGTGCAGTGGTGCAATTTTGGCTCACTGCAACCTCTGTCTCCCAGGTTCAAGTGACTCTCCTGCCTCAGCCTCCCGAGTAGCTGGGACTAGAGGTGGCTGCCACCACACCAAGCTAATTTTTGTATCTTTAGTAGAGATGCAGTTTCACCACATTAGCCAGGTTGGTCTTGAACTTCTGGCCTCAGGTGATCCGTCTGCCTCGGCCTCCCAAAGTGCTGGGATTACAGGCATAAGCCACAGTGCCTGGCCTCAAACTTTTTAGTGACTACATAGTAGAATCTCTACTTGGATTTTATATAATGATTAGAATACTCGGCCGGGAGCAGTGGCTCATGCCTGTAATCCCAGCACTTTGGGAGGCAGAGGCAGGCAGATTACTTGAGGTCAGGAGTTCAAGACCAGCCTGGGCAACATGGCGAAACCCAGTCTCTACTAAAAATACAAAAATTAGCTGGGCACAGTGGCGGGCTCCTGTAATCCCAGCTACTCAGGAGGCTGAGGTAGAATCGCTTAAACGCGGGAGGCGGAGGTTGCAGTAAGTCAAGATCGTGCCACTGCACTCCAGCCTGAGCAACAAAGCGAGACTCTTGTCTCAAAATACAACAACAAAAAATGAATACTCTCTATTTCTCAGGCATACAGAGACCATTGCAAATATAAGATAAAAAATAATTCCATCATGAAATTTTTTAGTTTCAATATTACTTGACCACTCATGTGCCTTTTTAAGTGAAGAATGATACTAATTCTTGTTAAATATTTCTTTGTCTGATCTGCAGAGACCACAAAGATGGAAAGGCCTTAAGAATTTCTGTTTTTTGGCCAGGCGTGGTGGCTCACACCTGTAATCCCAGCACTTTCGAAGGCCAAGGCGGGCGGGTCACCTGAGGTCGGGAGTTCGAGACCAGCCTGACCAACATGGTGAAACACCATCTCTACTAAAAATACCAAAATTAGCTGGGCGTAGTGGCAGGCGCCTGTAATCCCAGCTACTCGAGAGGCTGAGACAGGAGAATCGCTTGATCCTGGGAGGTGGAGGTTGCAGTGAGCCGAGATTGCACCATTGCACTCCACTCTGGGCGACAGAGTGAGACTCCATCTCAAAAAAAAAAAAAAAAAAAAAAGAATTTCTGTTTCTGTAGTTATGCATGTAACACAAAACCATTCAGGTTAGAGGCCCATAGCTTCCCATTTAACTTTTAAGACATGCTCCATTTTGTAGGAGCTTGGGGATATCCAGGAAATAACTGACCCTTTAGGGAAAAAATGGCTAAGTATTTGGCTGTAGTTTAAAATTTTTCTCCTTAAATTCTCTCCTCCTTCTTTTGTTAATTGGACTGTTAATTGAACTAGCTTAAGTAAAATGATAAGGTGAATTTCAGCTGGGCACAGTGGCTCATGCCTGTAATCCCAGAACTTTGGGAGGCCAAGGCAGGCGGATTGCTTGAGCTCAGCAGTTTGAGACCAGCCTGGGCAACACGACAAAACTCCATCTCTACAAAAAACGCAAAAAAATTAGCTAGGCGTTGTAGTGTACACCTGTAGTCCTAGTTACTCAGGAGGTTGAGGTGGGAGGATTGCTTGAGCCCAGGACGTTGAAGTTAAAACGGGCAGAGATGGTGCCACTGCACTCCAGCCTGGGTGACAAAGTGAGACTTTGTCTCAAAAAAAAAAAACTAAAAAAAAAAAAAAAAAAAAAAGGAATTTCATACATCTGAACAAAAGGTTCCAATGCTTAAGACAGTTCTACCTAATAATTTCAGGTCATGAAACCTCGTAGCTAGATTCTACCTTGCAGCATCCTTGCAGCTATAGCCCCTGCTAACAAGGCTTTATTGTTTCTGTGTATTTCCAATTCAAATTCTTAGGAGAAAGAATCACACTCAGAACTTCTCACACCAGGCCACAGTCCAATAAGTCAGGGTATGGCCTTGTCCTCATCAGGTGTGTGGGCAAGAAGACACTGGGATCACCTCCTCACCCTCTACTAGTTTTGTCTTCACGGGCAAGTTGCCTAAACTCACTAAGCTTTCGTTTCTCTTGGGGAAGTCGTGGCTTAATAATATTATCCCTTTCGGAGGACTAAATTCCTTAGTACAGGTCTAGGCACAAAGTGAACTGAGAGTAAATGGAAATTACCACCGATCTTATTATGATGGGAAAGACGCTGTGCTAGATGCTACAGATATTGAGCCCAAAGTCACAATTCTCCAGCATGGGGACACAGGAAGACCACCCTTGATCCAGCAAGATGAGAGCCATGATAGAACCCAGAAGAGAAGCTTTAACCCTCGTGAGAGTATACAGGCGTAGGAATTCACTGCATTTGTCCTATGGGCTGCATCCATCCATCCACCTCAGAATCAGAATTCAGATGTTAGCTGGTGGTCTCAGGTTCACATGATTATTTGCATTGAAAGTGAAGCCAGACTTATTTGTCATAGGGAAGCCTTACTTGGCAGTTGTCTGAGTACATGTCTTACTACCTGTGTGACTGGGAAACACTTCTTAATCCAACTAGCTGCAATTCCCTCATCTGTAAGAACAAAACAAAACAACCAGGGATAATAATATTAATAGTAAACACAGAGTTGGCAGGCATGATGGCTCATGCCTGTAATCCCAACACTTTAGGAGGCCAAGGTGTGTGGATCGCTTGAACTCAGGAGTTCGAGACCAGCCTGGGCAATATGGTGAAACCTCCTCTCTACCAAAAATACAAATATTAGCCGGCTGAGGTGGCATGTACCTGTGGTCCCAGGTACTCCGGAGGCTGAGGTGGGAGGACACTCGAACCCGGAGGACCAAGCTGCAGTGAGCCTCGCCACTGCACTCTAGTATAGATGGCACAGCATGGGTGATACAGTCTCCAAAAAAAAGTAGACACAGAGTCTTAAAATTAATGCCCCCAGAATACAGTGTTCAATAAACGTTAGCTATTGTTATTATCTATCATTTATTGTGTGCTTACTGGGGACAGGGTATAAATTATCTCCATTTTTATAGCTGTTATTAAGGACTGATGAGCTGAGGGAGTGGGAAGTCTGGAATGACTCCTAGATTTTGCCAAGCACCTCTCCTCCCTCACAGTACTGTGTTCTTGTACCAAGCACAATGCCCTTCCTCTTCTTCTTCTTCTTTTTTTTTTTTTTTTTTCGAGAGAGAGTCTTGCTCTGTCGCCCAGGCTGGAGTACAGTGGCACAATCTCGGCTCACTGCAACCTCCGCCTCCCGGGTTTAAGCAATTCTCCTGCCCCAGCCTCCTGAGTAGCTGGGATTACAGGAGCCCGCCACCACATCCGGCTAATTTTTGTATGTTTAGTAGAGACGGAGTTTCACCTTGTAGGTCAGGCTGGTCTCAATCTCCTGACCTCGTGATCCGCCCACCTCGGCCTCCCAAAGTGCTGGGATTACAGGCGTGAGCCACAGCGCCTGGCCCCTTCCTCTTCTTTTACCATGTTGTATTTTCAAATGGGTTTTTTTTTCAAGGAGCCCTCCTGCTGGGCCTTAGTCTGGGTCCTCAGTCTGAATTGGCCCTCACTGCTTTGAGGCACCGGTCACATTCTGCCGCCACACATCACAAGCTCTCCCTTTGAACGTCAGAACTGAAGTTCTCCTTAAGAACTTCGGAAAGTCACGGATGAGGCCGGGCGCGGTGGCTCACGCCTGTAATCCCAGCACTTTGGGAGGCCGAGGTGGGCGGATCACGAGGTCAGGAGATCGAGACCACCTTGGCTAACACGGTGAAACCCCATCTCTACTAACAATACAAAAAATTAGCCGGGCGTGGTGGCAGGCTCCTGTAGTCCCAGCTACTCGGGAGGCTGAGGAGGGAGAATGGCGTAAACCCGGGAGGCAGAGCTTGCAGCGAGCTGAGATCCGGCCACTGCACTCCAGTCTGGGCGACAGAGTGAGACTCCGCCTCAAAAAAAAAAAAAAAAAAAAAAAAAAGTCATGGATGAAAGGGTCCTCAGTTTGTTATCCTGTGAAATAGTAGCTGGGACATTTCTGAGGCCCAGAGAAGGGAAATAACTTGAATGAACAGGTTAGGAGCAGGCCAGGCGCTGTGGCGAGTGCCTGTAGTCCCAACTCGGGAAGCTGAGGCAAGAGGATCGCTTGAACCCAGAACTCAGTGAATAGCCACTGCACTCCAGCCTGGGCAACACAGCGAGACCCGCCTCAAAAAACAAAAATAGAAACAAACAACTAGCTTAGGCGCAGAACTGAGACTCAAACCTAGGTTTCCTGCTCACCCCCCACACCCCCCAGGGCCCCGCTGATTCCTCGTGGCTGCTAACTTGGAGCCGCCCCAAAGCCAGGTCGAAGGCGAGTCTACCGGCCCTGGGGACTCCTGGCCCTGCAGTTCGCATGGAGGATGGACGCAGTCAGGCTCTCCGGGAGCTGCGGGAAGCCCCAGGACTTGGAAAAGCCTCAGAGCGCGCCCCTAGGGGAAGGAGAGCTCGGGACCTCGAGGCGGCTGGAAGTCGAGGGCGTCGCCAGGGGTCCGTTTTGCGCTCGGGTGTGGAGAACGAAGCCGAATGCTGGGCTCCGGAATCCCCTCCAGAGCTCTCGGCCGGCCAAAGCACGGCCGCCCCACCCCCGGCCCGCCAGGCGCAGTCGGCCCCGCCCCCTGGAGCTCCGTTCCCCCGGCAGCCAGCGCCGCGCGCAGTCAGCCGATCCTTCCACCAAGGGAGCTGCGTCCCAGCCGCCGCGCTCCCCGAGGCCCTGGGTTGTGGGCTCCCGGCCGTCCGCGAAAGCATGGCCCGGCCCGTGCAGCTGGCGCCGGGCTCGCTGGCGCTGGTGCTGTGCCGGCTGGAGGCGCAGAAGGCCGCGGGGGCTGCGGAGGAGCCCGGCGGGCGCGCGGTGTTCCGCGCCTTCCGTCGCGCCAACGCGCGCTGCTTCTGGAACGCGCGGCTGGCGCGCGCCGCCTCGCGGCTGGCCTTCCAGGGCTGGCTGCGGCGCGGGGTGCTGCTGGTGCGCGCTCCCCCCGCCTGCCTGCAGGTGCTGCGCGATGCCTGGCGGCACCGAGCGCTACGGCCGCCGCGCGGCTTCCGCATCAGGGCGGTGGGTGAGTGCGGGACCCGGAGGGGAGGGGCGTCCCGCGCCAGCTGTGGGCTCCGAGCTCCTCTCTACAGGGGCGAGCGCGGCCCGGTCTTTTACCACAGAGGCTAGGCGCCGCTCTGAGAGCCCGGGGGCTGCGGTTGGGCGGCCGGTCCGGGGGGCCAAAACGCCCCGGAGACGTTCCCTCCCGCTTGGACACTGCAGCTATAGTCCCCAAGGTGTGCCTGGCCGCTGCTAGGACTGGCTCCGGGCTGCGTCCGTTCCTCGACTCTTAAAGCCCGTGGAGTGCACAGAAGGAACTTTCTGCTTAGAAAAGTGATGCTCTGGATAGAGAGGCTTTGGGCCAGCGGCCACTGTCTAGGCTCCACCGGGGCGGTTAGGAAGGGTACCCCAGGAGAATGGCCAGAGTTTACCAAATCTGGCTGCTTTATTATTAATTTAACTACAGATCCGCAGCGGACGGCATTCTGCTTTTCACGTCCTGCGGTGTGGTGGTCTTGGGTCGGGACCTAGCAGCTTTGGGGTCGTTAACTTCTTGGGGAAAACAAATAAGTAGCGTCTCGTCCCTTTAGCTGAATAGACAGGATTCCACCTTCACAGTCTTTTCACACTTAGCTGTTTGTTAGACAACAGCAGCTTTTTGCCTTTATAAAATAGCTTCTCATTCGAGAAACTAAACCACTGCACCCGTGAGCGGTCTCTGACTCTGGGCACTAAACCCAGGCAGGTGTGTCAGCTCCCTGTAACAGCCTGGTTCTTGTCTGCATTTATGTGAGGCTGCAAAGGCCATTTGATGGTGTGTTGACAAGTCACCAGTTGTTCAGCGCTTAATTTTCATTCTTACCAAGGAACCACTCTGTGTTAGTCCATAAATCATCTTCCATCCGAGGAGAAGGAGCCGCAAATAAAAAACATTTGTTTGGCCAGGCGTGGTGGCACTGTGTAATCCCAGCACTTTGAGAGGCTGAGGCGAGTGGATCACCTGCGGTCAGGAGTTAGAGGCCAGCCTGGCTAACATTCTGAAACCCCTCAGGAGTTCAAGACCAGTCTGGCTAACATGATGAAACCCCGCTTCTACTAAAAATACAAAAATTAGCCGGGGCGTGGTGGCAGGCGCCTGTAATCCCAGCTACTTGGGAGGCTGAGGCAGGAGAATCGCTTGAATCCAGGAGGTGGAGGTTGCAGCGAGCCGAGATAGTGCCATTGCACTCCAGCCTGGGTGACAAGAGTGAAACCCCATCTCAAAAAGAAAAAAGAAGAAGAGGAAGAAGAGGAAGAGGAGGAAGAAGAAGAGGAAGAGGAAGAAGGAGGAGGAGGAGGAGGAAGAAAGAAGAAACATGGCAGTAAGAAGCAAGCACCTGACTGACCTATAACTGTGTATCATCCATTCAGAGATGGTATTACCACATCCCAGCAGCCAGTGCTTTAAACCTTCACTTCTCACTCCATGCTGTCTGTTCCCTCTCCTCCCCACCCCCGTTTTTCTTAAGAGCTCACTGCAAAACCACATATACACATTTCCTCTCCTTTTACTTGCAGGAGTGGAGTGAAGAAAATAGGTTTCTGGCTCTGAGAACAGTGAACCAAGTAGCCAAGCCAAAATACGAGTGAAGAGGTCTTTCAGACAGGCTCGATGAAAAACTCTTTTCAGTTCTGCATCCTCAGTTTTTCTGGTTTGAATTAGTGGTTACATTCTCAGGTCCCCCTTTTCAAAGGGTGAGCATAGAGCATATTGCAGAGAGGGAGTGGGATGCAGGGCGGGGGGTCTAGACCTGGGGGTGAAATAAGAGAGGGTTTGTGCTAAGTCACGGGCCGCCGCTAATGCCCCAGTGAGCAGTGTTAAATGCTGGTGTCTATGTTGGTTATGTTTACTGCCATCTGAAATATGCAGCACACGTCACCTATTGCTCCCATTCTCTTCTGCCCAGTAGGTAATGCTGCCTCATAGCACAACTTAGGATGCAGTGGACACTGTATTCTATGGGGTGTGCAACACAGTGGACTTCCCCTGGGTCATTACCCTTGACTTGAGTCTCCTGGCAGGAATGATTTTGAGTTTTTTAAATTTAAATTTTTTTTTTTTTTGACAGAGTCTCTCTGTTGCTGAGACTGGAGTGCAGTGGTACAATCTTGGCTCACTGCAACCTCCACCTCCTGGGTTCAAGTGCTTCTCCTGCCTCAGCCTCTGGAGTAGCTGGGACTTTAGGTGCCTGGCTAATTTTTGTATTTTTAGTAGAGATGGGATTTCACCATGTTGGCCAGGCTGGTCTCAAACTGCTGACCTCAAGTGATCTGCCCACCTCAGCCTCCCAAAGTGCTGGGATTACAGACGTGAGCCACCGTGTCTGGCGATTTTTGTTCTTTATAATATTTTTATTTCTTCGTTTAAGCCCTAACCATGGCAAGGACAGATTTTGAAGTTGTTAACAAGTCCTGATAAAAATTTGAATATTTAGCTGGGATTTGGACAAAGCCACCCATTAGGACAGTTTGAGGAGCAAAACGGAGAAAGATCTTATTTGATGCTGAGTGATGGGTACACCTGGGGGACAAAGGGGATGCTTTTGCTTTGAATAGTGTTGCTAATTGCCAATTTCTGGTCTAACTTGGGGTCCCTAGGTGCATATCTAGGGAGGAGAAGGGGCAGCTCTTGGGCTATAGAGTCCTGGAGGGTGGCGAAGGCAGGAGAAGCTGCTTTCCCCAAAAGGAAATGAAAGTTTGGGTCGGCTTGCTCTCTTGCTCTTGCAGCGCTGGCTTCCAGGAGGGTGGGGAAAGAGCTACTGTGGACTGTTGCAGGTTGTTGCTCCATTCTCACTGTTATTTTGTGGGAAAGAGCAAAATGCTAGAAAAGGACACAGAGTCAATCTGATCTCTTTGCTTTAGATTGTTTGTTTGTTTGTTTATTTTTGAGACGGTGTTTCACCCTTGTTGCCCCAGCTGGAGTGCAATGGCGCGATCTTGGCTCACCGCAACCTTCACCTCCTGGGTTCATGCGATTCGCCTGCCTCAGCCTCCTGGTAGCTGGGATTACAGGTGCCCGCCACCACGCCCGGCTAATTTTTGTATTTTTAGTAGAGATGGGGTTTCACCATGTTGGCCATGCTAGTCTTGAACTCCTGACTCAGGTGATCCGCCCGCAGCGGCCTCCCAAAGTGCTGAGATTACAGGCATGAGCCACCGTGCCTGGTTAGATGTTTTTTTAAAGGCTAGTTTACTGCTGCGTAAAAGCATTAGGGTATAGGACATATTGCTGGCTAGCTCAGGCAGAAAATGCAGGGAGAGAGGGATGGCGTTCAGCTTTATAAGTCCAGCTGTACTGCC